CAAAGGAAGAGCACAGAGTCTCTCTCTCCTTCGTGTAGCGTATAATCTTTTTTTTTTTGTTATTGTTCAGCTCGTTTGATGACCGGTTGCCTTACGGGCCCGATTGTGTCGTGGCTGATCCACAGAGAGGAGCAAAGACGAGAGGTGGCACCCAAAGTCTTCTATGACTGGTCCAGCGCGGCCCTCTCTGTGGACGGCCCCCCTGCTGCTGCCTCTGCTGCGTCGGGCAAGTGCCACCCCTCCTTCGGCCGGCCGGTGCACCGTGTGGTGACGGCCATGCAGCTGACGTCAGCCGCCATGCAGGACGTCATCGAGACCCTCAAACTCACACATGTCCCCAGCGACTTGTAAGCCCACGACTCCCTAGCACAGCTCGCCTGTGCGCCTCTTTTGTGTGTCGTCGTTCAGCCATGGGTTTCTGTGGAGCCACGCCTTCCTGGTGCAGAGTTTGCGTCAGAAGACAGTGGAGATGCGCAGCCGACGACGAGGGCAGGTGGTCGTCCACCTGCCGAGACCCGACGAGACAAGCGCCACGGTGAGGCATTCCTGTGGCGGCTGTGATGGGCAGACACGTGTGTGTGTTGGCAGGGTTTGCGGCACATGGGGACGAGCGACCTCTCCCACGCATTCGCAAACCAGCGCTCCCTAAGACATGCCGGTCATCCTGCTGCTTGATGCACTGATACATATCGTAAACACCGATTCGCCGTGTGCTGTCGTGATGGTGATGGTTTCAGTGTCCAGTCGACTGAAGGACGGCAAGGCGTCTCGTGACGGTAGTGTTGCTGAGTGGACGGCGGACAGTGACGTACAGCCGACAGACAGGTACAAGGCCGTTGTGGAGCGGCCAATATGACCCTTCGGTGCTCTCTCTCTCTCTGTCAGTTGTCAGTATTCTGTGGTGTCGCCGGGCATAGCTCTGCATGACCTCCAGGCCAATCTCGCCTATGTGGTGGACGAGCTCGTCACGAGAGAACAGCTGCACCAGGCGGCACTGCAAAAGGCCGGAGACACTGACCTGGAGAAGGCCGACACTGAGGTGTCGCAGCGGCATCACACTGGCGGCTGGAAGGCCCTCTACGAGGCATTCAAGAAGGCCAAACGGACACTCATCAAAGCCGGCAGCCCGCCGGTCAGCGGACGAGAGCAGTCGATGTCCCTCTGTCTGTCGATGAGCATAAACCCACCTCTGTTGCGTTGAATGCAGGGGGCCATCCCGGAGGTCCTCGCAAGCCTCGTGCCGATGGTAGTAGATACGCCAGCCGCCACAGAGGACGTGCCGATGAGCGGCATGTCGTCGCCCGCCAGCTCAACCCGGTCGCAGCAGAGCGATTGCCAGGAGGCCCTCACGCCCCTCTCTCAGCTCGTGTGGGTCGATTGGCATCGGCTCAGCAGCCAAGACAAGGACAGCGCAGCCCTGTCGATGTCAGTGGAGGCCGTCTACGATGCCGTGGCGGCGATGGACGGCACCGCAGCCAACGAGGATGACGACAAGTAGCTCTGTCAAGGCCGCGGCGGCCCATGTGAGGGAATGTCAGCCGAGGCGATGGGACAGGCATACGCAGACTGGACGGGACGATCAAATTTATCCTATACATATATATATGCTGTGGATTGAGGGTGTGTGTATGCTTGTTTGTTGCGTTGTGTTTTCTGATGGTTTTCATCGAAACTCAAGACGAAACTCAAGACGAATACACGTGTAATCGACACGTGTCTGCAGGTGAGAGAGGCGTGCGTGGGACGAGTGCATGTGGGCACGCACCCTTTTCTGTGGCTCTGCCCTTACATGGCCGGCTGGGCCATACCGTCGGTGCGGTACGTCTTTTGGTTTTATCTTGGTACTGTTTCGGTGTAAGGCCCATTTTGACAGTGCATGTGTTCTGCGTGGGTGAGCCATTTTGCTGGTGTGTTTTGTATAGCCATAGGAAGACTTGCATTGAATAAATTTGTACAAGCGATATGATTGGTCTGTTCGCATTCATATGGGAAACCCGCGTAGACAATCTCAGACAGCCTCCTCTCATGTGCTGTTCACTTCCCGCCCATCTTTGCTAAATGCATGTGTCCGATGCACACGCATGCCAGCCGTCACTCAGCCGGCGAAGAGACACTGCCGCACACACGCAGAAGACTCGCTAGGGACTCTATCAGGTAAATCGTGATGCAAAGAGCACCAGACCGTTCTGACAAAATGCCTGCGGGGCTTAAACACCCCTGCAGGCACACACACACACATACACACACACACACAGAGAGAGAGAGAGAGAGAGGGACAACGAAGATGCATTACAAAGACGCACGTGCACAGATTGGTTGGCGAAACCCTTCCTACAGATGAGGGTACTGTTGGTCATGCATTGAGTGGCCAAGACAGAAAGAATGACAGACAGACAGACAGACATACATGAACCGTAGGTGGACAGGCACAACGCCACGCATGCATGCATATCCCTCCCTGCACGCACTCTTGTCCTGCCATCTGGGATCGGCCTTCCCTCCAGGATTTCGGAGGCAATCATGGCATTACAGTAGTCAAGAAGGAAGGAACGACCGGCGATGCCGTCACTCATCACCACCGCCGCCACCTCCGTCACTTCCAGAATCCCCACTGTTCCCACCATCGGAGCCGCTGTCAGTTCCACCGCCACCGACACCACCTGCTCCGTTATCTCTGTCATTACCGAGACCACCCCCTCTGTCATTGTTGTCTTCCAAGCCGGTAACACCTCCATTGTTGCCTCTGTCGCCAATACCGTTCACGCCGCCACCACCCCGCCCGTCATCGCTCCCGTTGTCAGTACCGGGAAAATCGTCGCTGAGACCACAGAAGTCAGATCAACATTCACACGATGCGTGGGTCGTCAGCAGGAGGTGTATGCTTACTCATCAGGGCGCAACTCTGGAGCAGGAGGGGCCGCATGTGGAGGTGAGGGATCGGGCCTGATCAAGGGAGGTCAGATCAACATTCTCACTATGGCTGGGTCATGAGCACGAAGCATCGCTTGCGGATCGGGCTCAGATCGTGGCGCCAAGCTTTCCTCGCCCCCTTGGCCTATCCCTTGCTCGGGTGTCTGCGGGATGACGCTCTCTCCTGCTGCCGACCCTCCTGTGTTCCCGCCTGTGGTCCCAGGACTGCCGGAACTGCTGCTTGCGCTGCCGGTGGTTCTGCTGCTAGTCCCTGAAAGAAACACACGATCATTAGACCGCACATGCATGCTATCTTTCTCTTGTCATTTTGCTCACCCGAGTCCCATCGACTGTAACCCAAGCCCGTCGAGTAGGCTGGAGTCGAGGCTGAGCTTGAACTGTCGGTGCCGTTGAATATGCCGGTCAACCGATCCATTTCCTCATCCGTCAGCACGGACTGCAGCTTTCGCCGCTGATCCCCGTCTCGTTGATTCACCACGGCACCTCGGCCGCCATCGGTCAATCGCTCCTCCTGCACTGCGCGGAGACGACGGCGCTGAGTGCAGAGACAGAACAGAGCAGACGCAGAGGTGCGTGACTGACTGTCTTGGCGCCTGTCTTGAGTGCGACGTACCTGTCCGACGTGGCAGGAGGTGGCGGAGAGCACCGTGGCTGTTGTGCAGCACGCCGTCAAAAGGACCGCAGCGAGCCGCGCTGATGCCATCAGCTTGATTTGGGGCTTGCTCTGCGACACACGCAAAGATCTGGTTGCGTGCTTTGCGCTTTGTCGTGCCGGGGAGGGGGGAAGACAGGCACACGCCGGCAGACGACCTGCTCTCCTCTCCTCTCTTCTCAAACCGATTGTCCCGTCTGCGAGCACTTTCACGGAATGTCATGTTTGTACCCTAAAGCCTTGATGGTAGGGTCTTTCCCGAAACCGCTGATGGGAGAGGGGCGCGAGAGAAGAGAGAGCTTCTCCCGGCCTGTCTCCTCCCCTCCCCCGCTGTGGCAAAGCACAGAGTACACACTGTCAACCAGATCTTTGACTGTGTCCCACACTTGCCGCGTCCCAAGTCAAGCCATGATGACATCAGCGGTCTTTCTGTGCAGCCTGGCGGCCACGATGCTCTCCGCCACCCCCTGCCAGGGCACCGGAAGTTCTGACGTCGGCCAGGTCAGTCAACCGTACTCAAGGCAGACAGTCACTCACGCATCGTCTGCGTGATTCTGTGTTCTGTCGGTCTGTATTGCACCAGCTTCGTCGTCTTCGTGCAGTGCAGGAGGACCGAAATGAGGTGATGGATCAGCGGAGAGAACTGCAGCCGCAGCAGCCGCAGTCCGTGCTGTCGGCGGAGGAAATCGAGGCTCTGACGAACATGTTCGGAGGCAACACGGATTCCAACAACGCCGCTTCGGACTCAATCTCACCTCCAGCGCAATCTCAGAGCTACTCCGGGCTCAATAGATGGAGCTCTCTTGGCAGTGACAGCAGCAGCTCCGGCAGCGGGGCGCTGCGACGACCAGACTCGTAAGCATGCATGCAGGAACTCCTGATTTCGCTGCAATGTGTGATGCATGCAGGGCCGATAGTTCTCTCAATCCCAACGGACCCGGTCGAGATACTGGGGATTCCTTGGACCCTGACGGACCTCGGGGAGATACTGGGGATGATGACAACGACCGGCGCAACGATCGGGACAACGACCGGGACGATCGGCGCGACAACCGGCGCGACGAGGCTGATGACTCCTTCAACAACGACGGACCTGGGGAAGATACTGGTGATGAATGAAGCCCATCGGCGTTCCTCGTGTTGTGCGATGCCACACATGAATGGTTGCCTCCGAAACCCTGGAGGGAAGGCCAATCCCAGATGGCAGGAGAGAGTGCGCGGGATGTCCACCTACGGCTCAACCTGTCTGTCTGTGTGGGGCTGTCTGTCTGTGTTGGCTGCTCTGTGGACAAATTGCTTGGTTAGTTAGTTAGTTGGTCAATTAGTTAGTCAGTTAGTACGGTCAATTAGTTAGTCAGTTAGTACGGTCATGTCTGTAGGTACGGATTTGCCAAAGAGAGTCGCTTGCTGATGCGCGTTTGTTTGTGAAGTGGCTTGGTGTGGTGGGCGAGTAATGCTATGCTGCTGCCAACGCTCTCTCTCTCTCTCTCTCTCGCTCTCTCTATGTGGTGGGGAGCGGGGGGAGGGACATCGTGTGTGCACGTGGATGCCGGAATGTGGGCCACTTTTACTTCAAAGGATAAAATGCTACTGCTGTGTGCCCTGCCATTTTATCAGTGTGCACATATCCTTTTCGGCTGCTGCTGCTGCTCTCTGATTGCGATGTGTGTGGTGGCACATGGTACAGCCACAATCAGGTGGCTTATACATACATGTTGGTTGGCTGCATGTGTGCGGTGCGGTTGTGATTTTTTCCAGCTGCAGCAGAGCGGTGGCATGCGTGTGTATATCTGACGCACGGGGTGGGGGTCGGATGTGGCTCATGCGAACATATGGATGGATGTGGCTCGTTTGTTTGACTGAATGTCCTCATTCAGAAGCGTCAGTGATGTGATCCGTTCACACGTTCACACACTCCCTGAACGAGACTGAGCATGTCAAGCGACTGCGTTCGTTCTGCTGACAGCGGCATAAATTTCCTACATGGAATGGACCCATCATGCATGTACACGTAAGATGTGGACCTATGCTCTGTCTGCCACTCGCGCATTATCGATCAAAATGGGCCACAAAAGGACGCTTAGATGAATAAAAACCATGATAAAACCACCAACTACCAACGGCCATGTAAAGAGCAGAGCCAAAGAAAGGGTGCGTGCCCACATGCACTCGTCCCACGCACTCCTCTCACCTGCAGACACGTGTCGATTACACGTGTACGTCTGAGTTTCGATAAAAACCGTCAGAAAACACAACGCAACACACCATACACACGCGCCCTCAATCCACAGCATAGGCATAACAATGAATTTGATCGTCCCGTCCCCGTACGCCTGTCCCATCGCCTCGGCTGACATTCCCTCACATGGGCCGCCGCGGCCTTGACAGAGCTACTTGTCGTCATCCTCGTTGGCTGCGGTGCCGTCCATCGCCGCCACGGCATCGTAAACTGCCTCGGCTGACATCGACAGGGCCGCGCTGTCCTTGTGATCGCTGCTGAGCCGATGCCAATCGACCCACACGAGCTGAGAGGGGGGCGTGAGGGCCTCCTGGTAATCGCTCTGCTGCGACCGGGTTGAGCTGGCGGGGGACGACATGCCGCTCATCGGCACGTCCTCTGTGGCGGCTGGCGTATCCATCACCATTGGCACGAGGCTCGCAAGGACCTCCGGGATGGCCCCCTGCATTCAACGCAACAGAGGTGGGCACATGATCTGCTCATCGACAGAAAAAAGATGGACATCGGTAGCTCTCGTCCGCTGACCGGCGGGCTGCCCGCTTTGATGAGTGATTGTTTGGCCTTCTTGAATGCCTCGTAGAGGGCCTTCCAGCCGCCAGCGTGATGCTGCTGCGACACCTCAGTGTCGGCCTTCTCCAGGTCAGTGCCGTCGGCCTTTTGCAGTGCCGCCTGGTGCAGCTGTTCTCTCGTGACGAGCTCGTCCACCACATAGGCGAGATTGGCCTGGAGGTCATGCAGAGCTATGCCCGGCGACACCACTGAATACTGACAACTGACAGAGAACGAACCACAGGAAGAGAGAGAGAGAGAGCACCGAAGGGTCAGATTGGCCGCTCCACACAATGGCCGCCATTTACCTGTCTGTCGGCTGTACGTCACTGTCCGCCGTCCACTCAGCAACACTACCGTCACGAGACGCCTTGCTGTCCTTCAGCCGACTCGACACTGCAATCATCACACGACAGCACACGGCGAATCGGTGTGGTGTGTAGTCATGTGTCAAGCAGCAAGATGACCGGCATGTCTCAGAGAGCGTTGGTTTGCGAATGCGTGGGAGAGGTCGCTCGTCCCCATGTGCCGCAAACCCTGCCAACACACACACGTGTCTGCCCATCACAGCCGCCACAGGAGTGCCTCACCGTGGCGCTGGTCTCGTCGGGTCTCGGCAGGTGGACGACCACCTGCCCTCGTCGTCGGCTGCGCATCTCCACTGTCTTCTGACGCAAACTCTGCACCAGGAAGGCGTGGCTCCACAGAAACTCATGGCTGAACGACGACACACAAAAGAGGCGCACAGGCGAGCTGTGCTAGGGAGTCGTGGGCTTACAAGTCGCTGGGCACGTGTGTGAGTTTGAGGGTCTCGATGACGTCCTGCAT